AAGCTTCTTTTCACCGATGAATCCGTTCAGCAGCTTTCTACAATGACGGATGAGCGTTGGGAGCGGTTCGTAAGTGGATTGAAGAGTCGGTTAATAACCAATCCGACGAAGGTTTTAGAAATTTTGCGTTTATTTTTTTCTTCAGATGATTCATCGGTTTCTTTCAGCGGCCTTCGACCGTTCGCGTGGATCAGATTGATCGTAGGGCGACGGACCCAAGTGCCAGCGTTGACGGTTATCCGGTAATTGTTCACTTCGGAATGCGCCCAGCGGTGCTCACGTATACTGGAAATCCAGAGTACCAAAAGGCGTGGAAGCAGTACGTAAAATTCAGACATCTGCTGATGATGAAACCAAAGCTATCAACTGACGACAAGGCGAAACTGGCACTAAAAGAGCTTCATCTTCAACGGCTCAGAGCTAAAGCGTAAGATATTCAAATGCTTGCGCCATTTCCGCTATCCAGTTGAGTATCGCTGCTGGTTAGCGACTTCTGTTTATGATGAAGCAAAGTTATTGAAGTGGGGTAATGTCCTAAGACTTTACTTGCCGTACTGTACTCTTAATCATCTGCCTGATTTTCTCATTGAATATTTATTGCCCTTAACCAGTAGTGTGTAGTCGCTATAAATCGAACCTTTAGTACGCCATGTGAGAATACCACGCACCACTGTTTTAAGTGACTACAGTTCCATGTAACCCAATTTCAAATTCGATGTGCATGCCTTCTCTCACCTGTTTCAGTTTCTCTGCAATCAACCACTTTTCCGAACGCACTTAAAAGTACGTTGTAAGAATGAAACTGCCCCACAGATAGCCTTCCTGTTAATCCTATCGTTCGGTGAGCTTGAATTACGCCAATGCACCTTAGTATTCATTAGAATTTGAATCTCAAGGAATTGCGAACAGAGCAGTTCTCCTCAGATCTATCATGATGGCGGTTGTCACGACATGGCTGTATTACTCAGGCGGTGGTTCTTTCCTTCCATTTAGAGGAAGATGATTCCCTTGGCTTCTACAAACGCTGTATAACGGAAATTATGGTTGTGGTTGAAACAAGAGGACCACTCGTGATCGTTGCTTGTCATTCTAACATAGAGGTTGCTGGAATGAGTTATGCTGCAAAACTATATCGCTTCAATTTGACTTGGCATATCGGGCTCAACCTTGCATTTAAAGTTGAGCTATTTTTTCCTGCATCTTCGCCTCCTCGAGATAAAATGTATCTATCAGCAGGTTTCAGCCTCAGTGGTTGCCTCTGATCTGATAGATTGCAATCAGCGACTCACTTAGCATATTTATCGAAGTCGTTTTGTGAGCAGCATCAGAAGATTTAACAGTTATCTTAAAATAGAAACGTTTGTCACAGATCTGCGACTTTGTGCTCTTTGTCGCATTCGCAGCGATGTTGCAGCAGTTACAGACAACGTTTCACCCGAGTCAAAATCGTGGTTTTCGAACTTTATTGGACGAATGCTAAGATGATAAAGTGGCTGTAAGTCTCATTTCGTTGTAAATTACTGTGAATGACGTACAGCTGCGGATATTTCCATACTTCCGGTATGGGTCTTGTTATCATTCTGCAGGAAACTGGTTATTGTTAAATGTATAATAATGAAGGGACAGTGACGAAGTGAATGGGCCATACAACATGCCAAAAGTTCAAGTCGATACCTGAAATAAATCTTGTTTATTAATTAATTTAGTTCTTTGGAGGTAGGAATTCACGACTCTGAGCCTCGTTGCGACGAATGGCAAGTCAATGACTGGACAAATTGATATCTATTGATATCTGTGATTACAAGACTGATAGAGAATAAGAAATGAAAGTAAGAGAATTCATTAACAGAATAAGATACTTACAGACATGCATCCATTTCTTCAACACATCTTTGACGCATAGTCTTTGGGGCTGAAATTTGTGTTTTGCTCTGATCCGCCTGATGGCTTGCTTACTTTTCCAACTTATGACTTCGAAAGTAACAGCAAGTCAAATAGCGAAGATTCGTCCGCGGCTACGGGCTGCGCGAATTTGCTGGATAAAGCACTAGAATCATTACAAACCTTGACGAAACATGTGAAATTTGACGATTCTGAAACGTTCTCATTTAAAATTGCATGCTACTAATTATAAAGCTTTTCTGTCGCAGGAACAGAAAGCAGAACCGTTGAAGTTTTTGACGTATCATTAAATAAGACTGTTGCGAATCTCTTCGATGGATCTGACAACTAACGAAATGATGTTGAGGAAACTGGCACCGAAGCGTGCTTCTCACAAGCGTTAAAGAACAGAAACTACGTTATTGAATTGAATGACAGCTCTCTGGGAAAACTGAATTAAAGTTTGGATATCGGAAGTAATATCGATATTGAGACAGTACTGTTGCTTCACAAAATTCAGTTCACGTTGCAAGAGCCGAACAAGGCCAGTTGTGTTAAAACCTGAGTACTTGATCTGGGTAGAGGCTTCGCTGCTGAGGTTTTTCTAGAAGAAAGCAACAGGTGTATGTATTTATTTTATTCTTTGGTTTAATGTTTGGGAACTAGAACTTTTCTCACGTGCAACAGTTTTGTACCCATTGTTGAAATTCAGTGGCAATCCATGTGTTTCTCAATTGAAATCCAACTTCAGTGCAGGAAATATTCTTTGGTGATTAATGTGTTAGCCTTCAGAGATGAGATGACGTGATGTAGAAGAGAAACCGCCGGTGAAGAAGTGGTGGCGCGCCGATCTCACCGAGTAAATGTCCGAGCAAGCCAAATCTGACATAGTCGTTACTCTAGGACCCCATTCGACCGGCATGAAGAGCAAACGTATCATCTGTCCAAGACGCCTGGTTTCCATGAATCAGTAGCGAAAACAATCTGCCGAAATCGAATCAAATAGAAGCTACCTCTGCGGTTAGCTTGAGTCAGATTGCAGCGAACTGCTTCGCAAGTTTGATTTATGACCGATGTACCCACGGCACTTCATTCTTCGAATTGGGCGTCATTGGCTCAGATGGTAGATGAACCAAAAGAACGATAAGGAAGTTTGTTACGACAGATTCACGAGACAGGCGAACGTGGGCATCAAGTTTATGCAATCGTGAAGCTCGTTAATTGCAAAAATTCACGAGATAATTTTCTTGTTGTTAAACATGTTGGCAGTTTAACTTTTACTTAAATTGGTACACAGTATTTAAGTTTATTTTCCATTGAAACAGCATGTGATGATTTTGATACGTTTTGTTTTAGGAGTCTAAAGCGAGATGTTACGATCGAATTCTCCTCAAAGTCTTTCTATATGACCGGTATTTCTTCTGACATGGTTCAAGTATGTTCCACAGTGATGGGTTTCAACGACAGTTTCATTTTTCTGCTATTAGCACGGATTAATGCTGTTGGCTCTGTTCTGTCATATCAGATTTCATTGGTCCCTGAGAACTTTCGAGCAACGGATCGGCTATTCCTTCAAATCCAAGCGGCTATTAGAGGTAAGAATAGTGTTGTAACGGTTTGAGTTTAGAAATGACCCAACGTCACACATGTTACAAAATACTCATGAATTCACCGTTTGTTTTTGGGCGTAGGGTCGTCATAAAAATATGGTTTTCAAATCTGGAACTCATCACCAGGCGCCTGGCAAGTTTCAAACGTTCAAGCCTGAAAACAGCAGAATTTTATTTATTGCCGATCTTTCGGGGCATAGCGCGTTATTGCGTTTTTTTATCACAATGACAGATGAACAGCATGCCAAAGTTTCGACAGATGCGTTGTAAACGAACTACTACTACTATTGTTTTCTATTTTCAGGCTTAGCTACCGTTTGATTTTGTTTGTCAATGTGTCACATTTTACGCTCATCAATTTAATTCAGCCAATTTAATTTAATTCACCAATTTTAATTTAATTCACAGGACAACGGGAATTGAATCAGTTTGGCACAGTCAGGCTTTAGACGGTATGGTCGTTTGTCTTGCTCACTCTGACATGACTGTTGGTATTGTTCCCAGGTCAGCGGCTTCCTACCGTTTTTTCTTCTGTGCATTGGGCACAGCGTGGTGAATTATCAGCTAACTACAAAAATTTTATGGAATGCTTGACATTTCAACCTAACCTCTGTAAAGCGCAAATCAGCCTCCTTACTCACTGTTCATCCCAAAAGCAGTTTATGGCTCTAGATTGTCATTCTTTTGAATATTCCGCGGTATGACATTGATTTCAAACTCAAACTCGGTTCTTTCTTTGAATTTTTGTGTACTTCAGTGGGACTTTACGTGCTCCGTTAAAAATATGCTAATGATTAACATACTAAAAATACATTTTATTTCATGAAATTTTCTCCTATACCATTCGTTTGTCACTCAGTAAGCAACAAGTCAGTTTTTTCTTGTTTTCAGTCATTTCTGAGTGAAAACATCATTTCTCATAACGGAGCGCTAAACATTTTATGCTAAATTGCTGCTGTAGTTTCTCGGAAATTATCAGACGTAGTCATAATTTGTCATTTTTCTCAGGCAAGAGCATGTATTTCTTCTCTGACTTCCTTAGATTGAGTTCTTCATTCGTGTGTTGGTGATCGTACTGAAAACTTTAAAAAATATGATTTATTCACACAGTGCAAACAATTTTATCAAGCAGGTGATTGGCCTGTCCCGACTTTTTGGCCCGTGTCTCACGAGTCTTCTTCAGAATGGGCAAGGTTGATTTTTGAAATTCCTTCTGTATTCTGCAGCTGTTGCAGGCTTTAGAGTCAGAAGTTGTGATTTTGGTCGTTGCTGCTGGTTAAGTAGCTTTTCGGCAACAGACTTCGCAAGGTTTGTGCAGTCCGTGCAAAGTTCTTATGCTTTGTCCGTTTGACATTTTCGCAGGGTTAGATAATTAATGCCGTTTTGAATGAGCAGATTCTTTATTTGTGCCCGTGTAATCTGAATATTGAAGAAGCTGACCTTTCTCTTATGCCTGTTGCGCAATTTAGCTGCGCAGTGCCAATCATTTGGGAACGAAGCAGTGTCCGTAATATTAAAAGTAAATTAAACTTTTTTCAATGTCTGAGTTCATAAATAAATTACCGTTATAACTCTCCTCACTATTACGCTGTTTAGAGTATAGTGCAGGCCTAGTCATGTCCCCTAAAATAATTCTATTTTCTCTGTTAACAACTTTCCGTAAATTTTAACTATTTTTTCTGAAAATGTTAGTTCGAATTTTATATATTTTTTCCTGAAATTAATTTCGTTTCAAATTTTTCTGGATGTTTTTTCTACCTAAACAGCTTAGTTCAAATTTTTTGTCATATGCTTCCGGCAACGGTGGGTAAATGAGTAACTGCGACTTGGCATCCCTTGGAGTATTCCTTGTGGTACTGCATTTGACTTCTAAAGAGTTTCCCTGCATTGTCTCATATTTGTACCATTCGTACTATTCGCTTGGCACAGAGGTAGGCAACCTACTGCCTGCCAGTTGTAAGTTCCTTAACGATATAAATTTTGCTTACATAATATTAACATTATTATTATTACGGTATTGAGACGTATATGATGAAGAAACGCCATCAGTGCATCGAGCGACACTGTCGTACTATTTAAAAAGGCAGTGATTAAAGTATGATTTTTTATTGTACTGTTATTTTTATCGTATTCTGTAATTAAATCTTCAAAACCATATATTTATACTTTCACGTATAACATTTTATTTTCCGCGGAAAATTTCTGGTAATGCTGTTGTTCACTCTG